AGCTCAGGAATTAGGATTTCTTCCCTCCTTAGATCAAGAATATGATTCTTCGCCTCCAGCCCACTGAAGTCCTCAGATTTCAGAGGGCAGCAGGGGGGTAATGTTTTACAAGTGGAGCAGGGAACAGTTTAAACGTACCTTTTTTGAAAAAGGGCATTATCTGTCAATGCATTGGCAGAGTTTAAAGTATAAAACAAAACGATTTGATGGCTTTGATGGGCTGCCTGCTTTCAATGAAATCCCTCACAGTTTCACTTTGGTTGGTTTGTGTTCGAGTGGCTGTATTTTGGGGATTTATAAAGCATCTTTCTCTGGAATGTGCATCTTGGTTCTAAACAGTTGTGGCCATTCTGTGTTTTCCTTCTTCAAAAAGCAAACAGAGTCTTGGGATTAAGCTAAATGACTAATTTGTCCTATCCATTCAATGTATCCTGGAAAAGCAGGGAACACACTTTTAGCACATTGTTCCTCTCACTGGGTTCTTCTAAAGTTACATTAAAAATAATACTGATGTCAAAGGAAGGAGTCAGATGTATTCGTTTTGTGCTGAGTGTGTATTTTAGAAAAGATGTAATTATAATTTGTATATTTCCTCATGTAAAACTATTTTCACATAAGCAGGGTTTTGATTTTTTTAATGTATCTATAAATAAATGTTATTTATGATAACCTAGGCTGCAAATAAATGTTGCAGATGGTGATAAAGATTTTATTTAAATTTCACTTCCACAGAAAATGATTTCACATGATCATTAATTTATATTTGTAATGAAACTCCTGACCACTTAAATCTGTTCTTTCCTACTATCTTTTAGCTTACAGAAGCACTGGAATGAATATTAATACGTGAAAGAAATAATGAAATGCTGAATCCTTGTGTAGTTATGTACTGCTTTCCTATACATTATCCCACTTGACAAAATTATTACTACGTTATCATTAACAGAAAGTGTGTCATCTTTTATAGTTTTTCCTGATATCTGTTGTTCCTGTCATTGTTGATTTCTTGCCCCTGTCTTTTATGTTCTTAAAACAATAAGAAACCCAAATGCTAAACCTGAATTTTCCGATATTAGGAATGTCATATCCTAAATATATTTACAAAAGCAATCCAAGGATCCATATTAACTGAGTGCAAGAAAGAAGATTATAATAAGTGGTAATTATCTGCAGGGGCTTTCTACCAAACAAGCCACATGGAGTAGGTGAAAATGAAATGGGGATTCAAGATGTGAATCCATTTTTCAACCTAAAATACACTCAGTCCCAAGGCAATATGTGGCTCCTTCAACTACTCTTAGACCAACACAAAATGTCAGGTCAACAGTAACAACTTAAATGAATGAAAGTAAGAACAGAAATAAAGGGTGCTAAAATATTACCTAAATACAAGGAAAGAATTACTGGAAACTTGCAAACTAGCTATTCAAATCTCTCCCTAGAAATAAGCCTTATTTAAAGTTGAGAAATCGTTTTTAAATGATCCCCAATGATCGCACTACTCATTCAAAATATGCATACAGCCAGCAGAAAAATTACTAAGACATTGATTTTGATGCTAAAGATCTGTGTGTATGTGCAGTTTGGCGGGGAGAAGTGGGTAAAATTTAGCTTTTAAGAATACTGAGTAGTAAAACTGAAATGAACACAGAGCACTAAATACTTAATTTGAATTTTTAAAAACATGGTGGATATAATATGTTTCATTCTTTAGTTTTATTCAAACCTCCTAAATCGTTTGAACACTCAAAAGGAACTGAGGATAAGATAACTCCCAGGTGCCTTCATCATGAAATTTTAGGTAAGACACATCTTCGAAAGTCACAACTGGCCCGTTTACAAATGTATTCCCTCTCAACAATTTGCTGGGACATGTGACAATCTTTCTCACATTATTGTATGCCCAGAGCAGTTTTATCTATTACATTTCTTTATACATAGATATGGCTGCATATTGTGGCCTTTAGAAGAAAGTAACCATAGTATTTTTTTTTTAATTTTATTATGTTATGTTAATGATGTGCACTTCATGTAAATTCTCTGAACATCCCAGTGGGACATCCAGGTAGACAATCCACGTGACGGCACCATGTTACAAATGGAAAAGTTAAGAATCAGAAATAATAAACCTTAATCTAACTGACCTGAAGACACCAGCCAATTTATAGGGAGAAAATAATATAACGACAATCAAAATACCTTTTTGGTTTGTGTAGCTAAAACAACTAGCCACTTTCCTAAATTTTGTGTTTCGTACCAAGCATAACATGTTAGGCCACTAATTTTCAAACGTCTACGGTAAGAAATACATTTTACATCAGAGTCGGTGCATATAAACGTATATAATTAAAACAAATTTTCAGGAAACAAAACCTACCCTTACTAAATATTATGCACTGTGATACTTTCTATTATATTCTTTTCTATTTTATTCCTTAAAAAAAAATGTTCCAGACTCACTAAGAGATTTCATGATCCTCTGGATCATGACAAGCAGTTTGAAAACACTGCTTGCAACCCCCAAAACTTTAGTAACTACTGAAGATAACGGAAGGTTTCTAAAAGTGCCTCATCAATTTTTTTTTTCTTTCTACCCAGAGTTATTCAGACAGGAAAACTGAGAGGGCAAAATAAATAACATCTGTCCATTTGAAACAACACTTACATAGAGCCATCTCTTCCTCCCTGGTTACCCAGAGGCACGATTCAAAGCAAAGAGTAAGGATGTTATAGGAAATAAATTACAAAGAAAAAATCATTCTAAAACTAAGTTTCCACATGGAAACGCATGTGTATGAGTTCTTAACTTTATTATTAAAGTTCCATGTCATTTTTTTCATTATTCTAAATATATTTGAATACCATCTAATGCAAAAAGTTTAAGATGGGGCATATTATAGTAATATTATTTGCCACTGGGATGATGAGCAATTTTGAATTAAATGTGGTCTCCTCTTTATTTGACCATGCTCACTTTGTAATTATTAGCAAGTCAGTAAATAATCCGCTGAGGAGCAGTCTCATTAGTACCCATTGAAATTCAGTAGGATTAATTTGCAATAAAAGAACTGAAAATTAAATGAAAAAGAAAATAGTTTCCGGAGTCCACCATAAGGTTATGGAATTCACATCATACCAAGTGCCTTCCTTCACATCAAGGAGTTTAAAAGGTTGTGTGAATAAGCCTTAATCGTTATATTTTGTTCTAACACTTCAAAAAAAAAAAAAAGTGAGCAGAATAAATCCCTTTTCTTTCTACTTTAACCCTGAATTAAAACAAGTAAAATTAATTTGAAATATGCCAACTTTCTAAAGTTTTGTTCATTCTGTGTCTTTTAAGTAATAACTCAGTCTGAACCTGTTTGGCTGTGGGATGCTCTAAAATCCTTTGAGGAGGCTGAAGGATATGGGATACGTTCAGATACCCCAAGAGTATGCCCTTCAGTATCCTCTGGGGCCAACCTGCACCTTCTTCCTGTTTCTTCTGCTGTATCTCTGGAACTAGAACACTGAATAGGAAATGGTCCACAGCGAGCAATGCAGAAGGGTCCAGGTGAGGGAGGGAGGCAAGTCCAGACACCAGTGTGCAGTCTGGCTGTGCCTAACTCAGCACCCAGCCACGTGGGCGCCCTGAGAACTCCCAAACCCACCCCAGAGTACAGGTGGCCGTTAGGTGCCTAGGGCACAAGTGTTCATCAGTATCACCCACCTAAGCCCTCCCCAGGTCCATCAGGAAGAGAACACAGAAACTGTCAAAGGGGTAGTAGGAGAAGGGAGGGGAGGAAAGTATAATCCTTGGGGTTTGTGGATGTAAGGACCCAAAACACTGGCCACTTAAGTCACAAATGCGTTTCTGTATGTCCTGGACTCCTAACACTTCCAGAGCGACTAAAAGGCGCACAGACGAGCTGACCCCGCACACCGTTCCTGGGGCACGCTCTGCCGGTAGGCCAGAAGGTAATTTAGCTGGCACGAGGGTTATTTCAAAACACTCTTCCATATGGCGTGTTTTAAACTCACAAGACACCTATAAATTTTCGGCTGTCAGAAGTCATATGCCAGCAATCTGCTCCAATACGTACCCAGCCAGATAACTCAGAAATCAGAAACTCATTAAGACATTCAATTCCTCTATTGCTCTTTGGAGGAGAACAATTCAATCCCAAAGCCTCGAACTTGGGATGGAGAGAAAGGAGGGAAAGTAGGTGCAAGCACTGCTTGCTAAAACAAACAAAATCATCGTCATCATAATAATAGCGTGCATATCTCCAATCAGAAATTGTAGATGAAAGGAAATCTTGCGAGCACATTAAAACAATTTCAATTAATAATAATAATAATAATAATAATAATAATAATAATAATAAAACTCTGAGCTTCGCTAACCAACCCTACGCACCTCCAGCCTTAAATACCAAGACGGGACATTCACTAGGGACTCCAAGAGCTTTGTGTTTATTTGCTTTGGGGTGTTCCCCCACACACACAAATAACCGCCGCTTTGTACGATTTTCCAAAATGAGTTAGGAAGCTCATGGGTTTTCGGATCTGCCGCTTACGCAGATGGTAGGGGGGCAGAGAACAGAATTTTCTTTAAGCTGCCAGGCGAGAGAACTTGGCTCTCGAAAGCAAGATCCACAAATCCTCCCCCCCACCACGCCACCCCACGCCCCGGCCGGGCCGCGAGTCACGCGGCTCCTGCGGCCGGGCTGCCGGCTGCACAGCCCCGCGGCCTACGGCCTCCCGCG